ATGTTTGAACTATTTTTGCACAGAAAAAAGTACAAAGCAGTGAAAATCATTAATAGGCAACCGTTGAATGGGATGAATTGCACAAAACGCATGATCGCAGCGGCTAGTCTGGTACGCGTTGCTATTTATTCCTTTTGCATCGTGTAATTCTTAAAGCTGAAGTCCAAAAAAAGAAGCTCGGGAAACAACAAATTGTTAAATTATAAGTATTTAAGGGACCAGCATGACAGCCCCATCTATCTTCTTGTTTATCATCTTCATTCTTACGTTCGCCTCAGCTCCTTTCAGACTTGCTCTTCTTCATTAGTCGCCGTTAGATGGGACAGAGTCGCATGAAAGTTTTAAAGCACTGAGCTGCATTGCAGAGAAATCCTGAGTCATATTGACTGTAAAGTGACCTTTTACTGTTTGTTAAGATATTTTCATGATTTGATGTGATGCTTAAATATATGGCAGTGCAAAATGATTTTGAAAGTGCGTTTCACTTGAAAAAAAAGCCGACCATCCTCTTTGTTGAATTAGCTGCCCATTTTTCGCTTACTGGTAGTAAAAAAACAAAATTTTCGGATTTTTCACTTTTTACGTCTGCTTCAAAACTGAGGCAGAGTTTTGCACTTTTCAGTGTAACGAAGACACCCTGCCATCTCATCTAAAACAGTAACTTTTTAGAGAGGAAGGACAGCAAGGAAGAAGCTGACTTGCAGAATTCAAATGCGTCGAAGGATGGGACAGAAGTACCACTCATTTGCAAAACTACTGAAGCCGATAGAGGCAGTGAGTTGAAGGTTCGCTTTAAAATTACTTCCTCGGTAACAAAGGCCATGCTTTGTAGCTTAGAACTGTGCAAATAAAGGTAATAATAAGGCGAAATATGATGAAAATTTCAGGACCGTTCCTTGCAGTTTTTGTTTGACCTGGGAAATTTCTTTGACCTTAAAAATAATCGCTGTGGAGAAGCGATAGCCTTTCAGATTGAGGCGAATAGCGTGAAGTATGTCGATGTGTTGGTACTATCCTCGACACAGAGGGAATTACCGTTTTTGAATTGACTGTAAACACAGGAACCAGCAGCTGAATCATGGCAATTACTATTAAGCACTAACTGTACGGTATGCAGAACCTACGCGCAGAAGACACTACTACCGTAGGGAAGAGATGTTTGAAACACTGAGTGTTCCTGACGCACCTTCATCTTTTTTCTAACATATTCTACTGCTTTTGTTCGCAAGCGCCTCAGAGCCTCCGTTAAATTTTTCTGTCGCTGAGCATGGCGATTTGCTGAAATTCTTTTTTTTTTTTTCCTCACAAGAATTGCTTAATCTTCTCGTGTAAGGGTGAGGAGAAGGAGGAGAGGTGAGCTTTTATAGCTAGGACAAGCAGTGCTTTGCAGCATCTTTTAAGTTATGCATAATGTGTTATTCAGTTGAAGTTTGAAATTATTTTTTTTAACAGATACACCAGAATACTTGTTTTTTTTTTTTTGGCTTCCGTTACATAGGCTTGTGGGTTGCCTTGACCGTCTTTTTAGCACCCTCTCCC